GAAAATTAACTAAATGAAAAATAAGGGATCGTAATAGAGTTTGGCCGCCAATAATTATATACATATTCATGGGTGTTTTTCATAAATGCTATTTATGATTGCATAGATTACAACAATATAAAAATAAAAATTTATATATATATATATATATATATATATATATGTATCAATGCTTAAACCAATAAAAATATCTACAATGAAATATAAGTAAATATAGCGGCTTTCTTTATTAGAGGCACTCTTGTCGGACTAAAAATATTTGGTGGCACTTAATTATTTATTATAATCAAACATATAAAAATACCTATAGTGGAATATAATTAAATATAGTGGCCTTCTTAATCAGAAGCACTCTTGTCAAACTAAAATTATTTCTTATCACTTAATTATTTATTATATTCATAACTAAAATATATCATATATATATATATATATATATATATATATATATATATATATATATATTTATAATTATAATAAATATATCATAACATAAAATCATTGAAGGAAGCTAGTCAACTGTTCTACATATCGTGGGTGATAAATAGTCAGGACACAGTCATTATACAAATTTGTACCAACGTTTCAACCCAAACATGTGGGTCATCTTCAGGGCTGAAACTTTTAAAATACAATCAGAGATATAATATTGTACGACCGATAATGGTAAATAATAAACTATAGGAATTTGATGATATGATACATGAATCTTAATTTTTATTACAATACACAATATTAAAAATGAAATATGTAAAAAGTTATACAAACTAAAAGTAATATATATAATCTATTTATAAAAATTTGTAATATTTTCTCTTACTAACCATGGTTCGAGCACTGAAGGCTTTTAAGTACTGACACATTTGGTAGGTAAGTGAAAAAGTCGGGGAATGATTTCCCAGTTGTCCTTTTTCAGATAGCAAAAGTAGGTAAACATAGAGAGGGAGGGAGGTAACATTTCTTTTAGTAGAATGTAAATAATTTGCTGACTAAATATTTTAGATGTGTACAAGATTTTCCTTGTTTCTTATGGTTTCAAAATTGTGAATATTGGCTAGTAATGAAATAAACATAAGCCAGAGGTGCCAATCAATATAAATATAACATAGTTTGATTAAAGGTATACAATGGTTAGCCAAATAATATTTATAATAAAGACAATTGTAATGGATTGAAAGCATACCTAGGACAATATATTATACAGTATTTTAAAAATAACAATATTAATCATAGTAGAAATATGTATTATATTAAGGATTATATAGTTTTAATAGTATGAGTATAAACATATCTGTGTCTGTTTATAGTATATATTTGTTTTGAGGATGGGCATTTTTACATATTTCATTTTTAATATTGTGTATTGTAATGATAGTCAAGATTCATGTACCATCAAATCCCTATAGTTTATTATTTACCATTATCGGTCGTATGATATTATATCTCTGATTGTATTTTAAAATTTTCAGCCCTGAAGATAACCCACATGTTTCGGTTGAAATGTTGGCACAAATAAAAAAAATTGTGTATAAAGAAAATGGTTTATGACAGAAAAAACATAAATATTTTACATTAGACAGTTGTGAAAAACATGTGGTCATTAATTGTTTTGTAAGTGAAAGTTGTGTGATGTGCCCATTACACCAGATGTTTTAGTGTTACATTCTTGCAATCTCACAACTTTCATTTGTCACGTCCTGAGTGGTCTTGTATATAGACAAGGGCCATTTTATTTTTTAGAAAAGAAACCAAATGTAATTACATAAAGAATATTAATAATTACTGTACTAATACAAACAGTATAAAAAACAAACAAAAAACAACTTAATTACAGAGATCAGGAAATCCCATTGAACCCAAAAGAATGTCTTTGCAAATCTACTTAACCCGTGATCAGGCTCACCATTCCTGGTTACATACGTAGGCACGCATGAGTGTGCATTTGATGCAGCACTCATATTTTCTAAAGTTTAACAGATATTTTGTTTTATTTAAATTAATAAATTGAATTTTAATATTAAAACAAGTCACTTTTTATTAATATTGAATTATTCATATTTTTTTAATGAAATATTAATTGCGTAGTGTTAGATAAAAAAAAAAAAAAAATAAGAAAAGCAAAAAAAAAAAACTGAAATAAATACAAGCATTTTTAATTTATTATAAAATGCATACAATACTGTATTATTATAAAAATAATTACAGCTACAATAAGAAACATATATTGGGAAATGAATATATTGTATTTATACATACAGGTCCAAACAAATCATTTGATTATTGGCTGTCTCTAAACTTCTGATTCTTTATCACATTTTAAGTACATATTTATTGTTGTAACATGCTCTTTACAAGAAAACTTCTTGCATGTTCCAATATTTTTATCCGCCCTCATATGTGACAAGTTCTTTTTTTTCTTTTGTGGTGGTTCTGAAGTTTGAGCAGGTGAATGAACATCTAAATTGTTGTCGGATAAAAACTCTTATAGTGGAAGGTAAAGAAAGAACTTGATCTCAGTTTCAGCTGAGGTTTCATGAGATCAATGGCCAATGCTTTTATAAATTTTCCACGCTTTTGAGCATCTTATATGTTTTGCTGAATGTGTAAAATATGGATTCCTCCAGTGTTTAACATTGTATAAAAAATGCACATTGGCCAATGTTTTGTTATTGTTGACACAGAATAGTTTTTTTATCATGCAGTCCACAGATTCTACCGCTCCATTCATTTGATTATAATTAGAAATGAATCTCAATGGGGCTAATGTAAATAATGATATAATTACCTGTGCTATTTTTATAATAATATCAATAAATAAAATGCATAATTATATATAATAATTATATAATAATAATATAAATTATATAATAATTATATAAAATAGTACTTATATTCTGTATTTCAGTAATAGAGTGAATTCAGGATTATATCATTATATCAGTGGGTATGCATTGTATTCTATTCAACAAGCAGATGTTCACCACTGGAAATCCAGGGGACAACTGGATCTCCTAACATTTTCCAGAACGAATGCTATGATCAGGTAACAGAGGATATATACGAGGAATACCTGTGAGATGAAGGCCCTAGTGTACCTGAAACGGTAAAAGAAACCTAATTCTGCACTCTATGCAACAACATGCATGTCGGAGGTTAAACACCTTATTAAAACTTGGTGTAATAATCAGTGTAATAACCACACTCTCATGAAACTCAAGACTTTTTGGATGTTGTGCATTGGAGTATGGGATGAAATATAATTGCCAGAATACTTGAAGGCAGTAATGAAATATTTTGAGCTCAAATTGTTTCAAAATATTACAGAGATCTAAATTCACTGAGTTATTTAATTTAATATTCATACTATCTCACTCAAAAATTCATCCAGCCGTTGGCTCAGAACATCGTTAGATGATTCTCAAATTACTCACACACGAGATTACTAAATTTGTTGAATTTTTTTCTACATTTGAGTTTTTTTCTCTTAGAGCTTATTTTACAGCTGAAGTCTCATTTATTGGACAAGATTTTTTTTTCAACATTAGCCATGGACCATGGAACTTTGAGTGGAGGTCTCAATATGGTCCGTGGACCAAACAGTTTGGAGACTCCTGATGTAAATAAAGAGAATTATCCATGTTATGTTTTCTTGTAGACTGTAAAACATTAAATAAGGCAATCAAATGAAACACTGTGTCTAAACAGCAAATCTTTCTGTGAAGGATGCAAAGTTTGCTTTCATTGACAACTTCCTCAGGTAAAATTTCTAAATAGGTATTTCGTTTTTTTGGTTTAGGATGTTACTTACTAGTGTTTTCTGGACAAATATCTCATCATTTCTTCATTAAATGTATGATAATTAAAATAAAAGGCTTAGCGAACCCAAAGGTTCGATGCTGATACCTTTATTTAATGGATATAATTAGATATTTAGTTAGGCGTATATATATACTTAACAATTCATGAATGTAATAAATTGAATGAAGATACAAGAGTAGATCTTTTTTTGTGCGTAATTGCAAAATAAATTCGTTTTAGAGCAAAATCATAATAAGATCTATATTAGTGCAAAATGAAAAAATAGATCAAAACAGATTCTATAGGATTTTGTATTTTAAATCTACTATTCAAGATAAGATCTATTGGAAACTCTGTTTCTCCTCAATCAGAAAAAAAAGATAAGTCCTGAAAATCTGGACCCTGTTCATGACACTCATGGGATCTCTGAATAATTTGAGTGATCCAACTTAAAAATTGGTCTAGCTATTAGTTGAAGAAATTATTACATACATTTTAGTGGATTGGTTAAAACATGGATGGTCCAACCTTTTGCTCATAAAATCGTTACATACCTTTTAGCAAATTGATTTAAATAGTCCATGTTTTGATTCCAAATAGTTTCAAAACACTCTTAGGATTTCTTCGAATAATTTGAGCAATCAAACTTAAAATTTGGGCTAGTAGCCATTTGCTCAAGAAATCATTACATATCTTTTAGCGAATTGATTAAAATAGGTTTTATACTATAATTTTTCAGTGATTTTAGCCTAAAGTATTTCAAACTTACAGGTTGACGCTCTCGCTGGACAATTTTGGCCATCAAACTTGAAAACACTCTTGTTGTTCATTCAAGAAAACATTATATACCTTTGAACGAACAGATTAATTATATTTTATACAATAATTTTCTAGTCTTTCCAGGCCAAATTGTTTTAACATACCACATGGAGTGAGAAGCCCATCGCTCCAAGATGTTATGTTTATGTGTTAGAAGACATTCTTCTTCGTTGATGCATGATGTCACTCTTGGTTTGTCCCTCGATCACCCATTGAAAAAAGTCGACTTTCTCGTGAAATTCTGAGGGATTCGATGTCTTCCGTTCTATTGTTCTCCTACATTCTCTTTTTCCTCTCTTCTCTCTCCTAACATGATAAAATTCCTGTATACACCTTATGTGCCGCTGCAGCATCTTCCTACATGCCTCATTTTTATTGACAGTGGCGGTTAAGCCATCATCATCAAACCAGAGGGCCCTTGTGCTGCGTGTTTAGTGACTTAGCGTTTATTCAGCTGCTGTCTTCAGAGCTTGGGATATTTCTGTCCACTGTTCATCAGAAGTGTCATATCTGCTCCACAATTCTTCCGCAAGCTGCTGTACTCTTCGCAAATTGTACTCTTGAGATTCTCCTGATAGGCTCCACACACATCCACATCCTTTAGCTTGGAGATGTTGAATTTTTTCTGCATCGTAGAAACCCAACCTTGTTCCTCGTAGCTGAGATCCTTGCACATATCCTGGCAATGCTAAGGTAATAATCTGTATCTGTATAGGCTCCTCTGTAAGTTCTGACTCCAATGAGGTTAGACTTGTGTTGAGAACTAATTAGAATATGGTTGATCTGATTAGAGATGCAGTATAGAACCATCTTTTGTCTAAACTTTGGTAAGATTTAAACTTAATATTCTTATTAACATGATAACTTTTATTTTTATTATCTTCATAGAATTGTTTTTACATTTTCTACCATTAAACAAATATATATCATTGATTTCACCACAAGTATTTATTATTAATTAGAAATGAATAATAGGATTTCCTTTGTTATATAAAATTCATTTTCTATTTATTTATTATTTTTAAAGGTCATTTTTCACAATGTGCAAGCAGTTTATTCTGCTGATGAAGCTATAAATTGCACTTATTCCATTACTGATGAAATTGAACCAGAATCGGGTGATGTCATTGGACTGTTCAAAGTCGGTTGGACTTCTTCTTCAGAATGTTTTTCATCAGTCCCTGCAAAGACCCCTGTCAATAAAGATAAACAGTTTCTAAAATCTGTTTTTGGAGGTAATTAATTTTATAATTCATATTACCTGTTTTATGTTTCAAAGATATCCACTATATTTATGAAATGTTTTTTTATTTATTTTACTCCTTGTTACATTACAACATATTTTCACTATTCAACTGCTAATTTATATAAATTGCTTCTTAACCTGTATATATTTTGACAAAAAAGAAGAATAAAGTATTCTTTTTAAATTATTCATACTTCTTTGACTTTATTTATACTGTTATTAGTATTTATTTCAAAGCCCAGTTACGGATTTTCACAAATTCTTTTAGTGAACTCAGTAAGAACACAAATATAAAAGGTTGTTTACCTGTCAGTTTGGCATTTATCACTTTTTCAGGAATTCATTCATTATTCTTGATATTCATTAAGTAGTAGACCCTATATGGTTAGGCATTGGAAAAAATCCATATTGCTTCCAATTCATAAAAGGGACCATAAATGGGTTGTAATAACTATCGAGGAATCTTGTTCCTCTCAATATTTTATTAAACATTTATGTCTTTCCTATGGATATAGTCTTTACAGAATTCTTTAATTATTGACGAAATATTTTATTTACAGCAAATAGTAAACGCTGTGCTCTCATAAGTGTTCAACACCTAATCCCGGAAAATTGGGAAAAATGGGGGAAATAATTTTAAAAGTTTTGAAACCAGGAAAACCCTTATTAGGAATTTAGTACTAAAACTCATAAGAGCTCTTCTTCATTATGCGTATTCTCAAAACATGCATTGCATCTTCTTTGAATAGAAATTGATGAGGGAATTTTTTTTGTCATTATCTTTGAAAAGTTAATGTTTTATATAAAAATTGAAAATATATAAGGAATATCTTTAAGAGGGTGTGAACAGGGTGAGCACCTTCCTCCATACAATAGAATAGCTTTGTTGAAGAAATTATACTTGTTAAATACAGAAGACGGATTAGAATTTTTATTTAAAGGACGGACTGTGGCTTTTTTCCACAAGGAAGGGAATACTGAATTTTGGAGGGAAAAATTGTAGATGAAAATGAGTCCCGGAAGGATTTCAGGGAGGCATAATTTAATTAATTTGACGGGAATGCCATCTGGACCAATAGAATTAGAGTGTGATTTCATCACGGCGGATATGAGGTCTGTGGGAGAAATATCTAAAAAATAAAAATCGGCGTCATTGAAAGATGTTCCAGGAGGAAAGAAGGAAGGGAGAAATGAAGGAGTTGAAGAGGAAGCAGATATAAAATAAGAATTTAAGTCATTTGATGAAACTGGGGGCACTGCAGAGGGAGGAGATCTGGTAGGATCACAAAGAGAGAGTTTACGAAGGAGTAGCCATTTGGATTTGGAATCAGGAGCTGAGGAAAGGGCTTCATGGAAATAAGTAGATTTGGCTCGTCGGATTGTGGTTTGTGTCAGGTTGCGGAGCGCCCTGAACGCATGATAGTCGTCAGGCAATCTAGTGCGTCTAAAGCTTCTCCGGGCTGCATCACGCCTCTTCTGAAGATCCTTAATTTTCTGACACATCCAGGGAGCAGGAAGGCGACGAAAGGTGGAGGTTTTGAGAGGAGCATGGTCATCAAGGATATTAATAAGATTAGAGGTGAGAATGTCAACCATGGAATCAATTGAGGTACAGGAATATATTATATTCCAATCTAGGAATTCTAGGGAAGGTAAAATTTTTTCCCGAGTAAGGCCATTAAGGTTCCGGAAAGTTACCGTTCTCGGTAGGATCGGAGGGGTTTGGATAATATAGGATATTTGGATTAGGTCATGCGACGATAAAAAAGAAACTGGTAATTGGGAAGAGGAAAGGAGGTTTTGAGCGGAATCAATAATGTACAGGTCCAACCAAGTGTCGGACCTTGCGGTGTGATGCGTAGCAGCAAAAGGAACGATAAAAAGATGAAGGGAGAAAAGAAGGTAAACTAACTTTGGTTAGTTTTTTGGTCACTGAGAATCAGCACTTGGCTTAATTTCCTCATGATTGATCTTTTATTAAAGCTAATTGTCTAAAAAATAATTGGCGTAGGCAATAAAAAACACCAGTAAAGTAAAAAATTTTAACAAACAAATTTTCTAGTTGAAAATAAAGCGTCGTTTGTAATTAAACGACCAACAATAACGCAAAATGGGCTGAAATAAAACATCTGGAGAATATATTTCTCTTTCTAAAACACTGATTACTTTTTAAAATATTTTAAGCAGTTCCGTAGGAAACGCACTTATGCGGGAGAAAAGCGGTGCCAGCGTAGGTGCCTAAAGCCTCTACCACACCATTCTGTACACATAAATGGCTTAGTTATAGTGATATAATAACGTTTTTGGTACATTATATTGGTTTTATTAACGAACAATTATTAATGCAATCATTTAATTGTCAAAAAAAATTAAACAATTTTTTTTTAAATTTATTATTTTATTTTACTTTTTTATTTAACTTACTTTATTCTATACGGAGGTTGTTTAAGTAGACATCTATTGTAAAAATGATATAATTATAATAATAAAACTTAATTAAAAAATACTTTGCTGAATATCAAGAATTTTTTATTTAACACTTTGTTTTGTATATTTACTGATTCTTAGAGGTAATTTAAATTGTATATACTTTCGAGAAAATGAGTCATATCAATACCTGTTTTATAAACTAAAATAATATATACCTAATCTGAACTACATATAATGAATAGTTTTCAGGTTGTTTAGGAAAACTTATTGTTATGAAATTGCAGAATAAATTGTTTGGAAGGTGGACCATATCATAAATAAATAAATAAATGGGAAATTTTAATATTGAATGCATTATTCCCTCTGCACAAAGAAAGATGGAAAGGGTGAAACTTTAAGTTCTTCTAGTAACCGGAACTGATTGTTTGGATTTGGTCTCAAAATGAGGGAAAACGCGAAATTGAATCCAAAAATTGGAAAAATACATTAACGAAGGAGAAAGGAAGTGACAAAATCTCGGAAAAGAGAAAAAGGAACAGTATCCATTATATGGCTAAACTAATATATAGTAGACAGATGAACAGAATATTTCAAGATGTTGCTAAAAGGGAGTCAAATGCTGGAGAAGTTTGGATGATCTTAGGGGGATGATGCAGGTTTATTATGGTGAAGACCACTTTATTTTCAATTGCTACTAAAGTTGCACACTGGGACTATCTTCACTTTGAAGCAGGCGATAGAGAGATCTATCGAGAAATTTTTTTTTGACAATTAAATGATTGCATTAATAATTGTTCATTAATAAAACCAATATAATGTACCAAAAACGTTATTATATCACTATAAATAAGCCATTTATGTATACAGAATGGTGTGGTAGAGGCTGTAGGCCCTACGCTGGCACTGCTTTTCTCCCGCATAAGTGCCTTTTCTATGGATCTGCTTAAAATATTTTAAAAAGTAATCAGTGTTTTAGAAAGAGAAATATATTCTCCAGATGTTTTATTTCAGCCCATTTTGCGTTATTGTTGGTCGTTTAATTACAAACGACGCTTTATTTTCAACTAGAAAATTTGTTTGTTAAAATTTTTTACTTTACTGGTGTTTCTTATTGCCTAAGCCAATTATTTTTTAATCAATTAGCTTTAATAAAAGACCAATCATGAGGAAGTTAAGCCAAGTGCTAATTCTCAGTGACCAAAAAACTAACTAAAGTCAAAGTCGTCAATCCGCCATCTTTGGACACCATTTTGGGGCAGTGCGTTCACTTTTTTTTTTGGGAACATTGGCTTTTTATAAATAAATAGTTACAAGGAACACAACAATATGCAATTTATAGGGATGTGGGGGAGAGGTGCACGATAGGGGGTCTGGCCCACCGTGTATAAGTATTGATTTATTTACAGGAGTCTAGTGAATTCAAACATTTTTTTAAGAAAACAACTAAGTTGGCATTTGTATTTCACAGCTTGAAAAATCCTTAAATACAATTTTTTTCAGAAATTACGAGCATTACAATTACAATTTTCTTTTTAAACCATACTCCTTTAAATTAATTAAGCATGGAGATAAAATAAAAATGTTTAAGGAGTTTTTATTTGTTTATACCTTATTGAGGCATATAATCTAAAAGTGATGTGATTTTGGAGAGCAATAATTTAGCTTTCCAACAACTGCAGTTTCGTTGAATTAGTAGACAGTCCTGAGCAGTTTTGAATATTTCAGTTAATGACACGAAAAAAATCCTCATAAAATGAAGTCCAAAAATTTATATTTTTTTATTTAAAAACAAATTAGTATTTAAGAGTTATTAAGAACCCAAAAAACAAGTACGGATCATTTTTTCATAACACAAATTTACTTAACCTAGTTGCATATTGTATTGCATAATCCGAAGCTATTTTGTTGTACTTTCATAACAGTAGGTTTTTTTTATGAGAAAGTGATTCTTAGCCCCTTCGCACAACCTTTTTCTTTTATCCGGGCTTGGGACTGGCTGTGATTCCCTAAAGCGACTCCTGGGCAGAATTCTTGACAACATTTCTAGACTATTTGTATATTACAATAAATTATTTGTTTTTGGAAATTTAATTTCTTTTTTTACTTCTTTTTATCACATTTACTTTTATACAATTGTTAAATTTCATTAGGCATCTTAAAACAGTTTTATGTTGTACATTTCATTACAATATTTTACGTTTTCTGATTTAAAATTAGGAACCTGAAGTCCATAATCCATTGACTATTCATTTCAGCTCATCTGCTCCCCAATGATTCTTCAGAGTTGTATCAGTTTTGTTACATCTCCAAGATGCGAGTTGTTGGTGCTAGTACTCCATTCACATTCGAGAGCGGTGACATAGTTGCCGTAGAAGACCCAACAGATCCTGGATTACTCGTCTTTAAATCGCGAGTGAGTCAGTTGAAAGATGAACTATACAAGGTATTGAATTATTTAAATTGACAACTTAGTTTATAAATATTTTTTACCTTCTGAGTATGACAGTATTTTTTTTTTCATCATTGTCTAATTTTTAGTCATTAATGTTCTTAAGGTAGTAAAAATTATATTCTAACTAATATTTTTATTCTATCTTGACATCGTATTAAGATAAAATATTGGTTATATAATAACGTACCTTAATATGTCTGCCTTTCATGTACGGGTTATTATATTTATTTTTTTTTGTTATTTTAGTTATATTATTTACTGTCATATGTTTTTATACTTTCAGCTATCTGATGAGAAAAGTTATTATGCTACTAAGTATAAATTAATCTATAACAATTTTTTTAAATTGAAGTCTGAATTTGATAATGTAGAAAAAGAATTACAAGTGGAGAGAGAGAAAACAAAGCGACTTGAAGAAGCCAATGCTATATTGGAAAATCAGTTGAAGGTTAGACTTTAACATATACTATTTTGTTGCTGTCATTGTGATATTTACAGGAACAATTTCAAATGGAGATGGATTGGAATGTATCATATTTGATACCTTTTCACTGCTGCCAATAAGTAATAAATAGAATGTGTAATAAAATTGGAAAAAAAAACTTTTTTTCAAACAAGTTTCTGTTTCAGTAAGGACGATATAGGATTGTTTTCTCAACAGATGGGGTATTTGCAGGAATTTTCAATTTTTATTCATCTATGAAGATAAGAATCAATTATTGGAGGGAGTTAGTTATGGGTGATAGATAGACAGGATGCAGTCAGCTTTTTTGATTTCGATTTTCAATATTTCAACGGGTGGATCATCATTAGGGCTGAAAATTTGAAAAATTTATAATACCAGAGATATCTATGTAAATGAAATTAAGGATTTGTCTGTACATTAATTAGAATCAATTCGTTTCATGATATCTTTCCGTTTCATACATTACAGACACCAAATCCACTTTTAAAAAATTTGTTGTCTGTCGTTATGTCTGCATTGTCCAACGAAATCATGGCTAATAGTAGATTTTTTAAATGTTAACATTATATTTAAGTTTGCTTGACTTAAAACTTAGGCTTTAAATGTAAACAAAATATTGGGTAGAACCGAAGTTATGAATTGAGTAATCGAGTAATTTTTCTGGTGATCCCAATTAGGCAGTTACTCACTTTATTCTCATCCGAACCTACTCTACCGCGAGCCACATTTAAAAGTTGTACGATTCAACTGATGAAAAAAATTATCACAACTCAACGGAAAAAATCTGAAATCCTGAACATCTGTAACGCATTATCGCTTAAAACTAACTCATTTTTCAACTTTGTCCGATCTTCCCATTCAAAGTGTCTTTCGATTCAACTTCCTGAGCCTAACAAATGTCATGCATTTTTAGAATTAACCAAACTGATTAGCCGGAAATCGGAAAAAAAACTCCCAAAAATTTCACCACACCAGCCACAATATTCAGATAAATTTCTAATTTGCAATAGATGTAGGTGACTCAATGTCCAATTCATTGCCAGTCAAGGAAGTAAAAATGTGTTTCACATATAGATTTTCAATTTTAAATCAATATTTAACTTAGTTTTTAAAACTTCAATTAAATTGATTAATAAATAACTGTTGATATTCAAATAATTTATAATAGACATAAACAAAATCTAAATACTTAAAAGATTAATTGTTTTTAAATTGTCTGATTGCAATTTACTAGGTATTTGAAAACGCGAATGAAATATTAATTAAGATTTTATGCACCAGTAAAAATTTGAATGAATGAAAAGAAATGATTGACGGTTTGAATTCGTTTAATTTAAAGCTTACAATTTATTTCAAGTTAATTGAAATTCACTTGGAATCAACTGGGAACAATTAAATTTAGAAACATGTTTTATTCTATTGAAGTTATTTGGATTGTCATGTAAAAACTGAAGCAACAGAAAACTTTTTTATATGCGGTCTGTGTCACACCCCCCTTCTCCTTTCGTTTGTTGCCCTTCTCTCTATCATTCTCAGTATACTACCAATGGTTAAACTGTAAGGAACTAACCCTTGATCAGTGGCTCTTTAGACTTAAGTTGGGACAGTCACAGTGATACGCACTCCGCTTGGTTTAACAGATAAGCTTTCTCTTTTATTATATTACATTTATTTGTTTGTTTCTTTTTACTTTCTATATATATATATATATATATATATATATAGCATTTCCAAGTCAATTTCAACCTTTTCCAAATCAAATTCGACCTTTTCCAAGTCAAATTAAACCTTTTCCATTTGATAACGCGGTTGCATATCCATTTATTTTAACATTTTAGATTTTTTCAGTGTGATATTTCTATGTCATTTCCAAGTCAAATTCAACCTTTTCCAAGTCAAATTCAACTTTTTCCAGATCAAATTAAACTTTTTCCAAGTCAAATTCAACCATTTCCATTTCAAATTAAACCTTTTCCAATTCAAATTCAACCGTTTACATTTCAAATTAATGTTTTAATTTTTTGTAAATATTATATATTTTTTTTAAATAATGGCCATCCCCTCCCCCCCTCCAATATGAAAGTCTATTATTATGCTCTCCTAAGTAGAATTTTCACTTACGGATATCGATTTATTGTACCTATTCGGATTTATTAGAGACTAGTATTATGCTGTCCTGTACATAGTTTTGAAAATAACCCTCATTTTAAGATTAAGTGACTGCGTGTTGAATCATTTAAGTTTTTTTGACTTATTCGATATAGGGGTGTATTTTTTTGTTTCCCGATCAGTAAATTTTGAAAATGACATCCATTTTAGGTTTACGCCGCTGTGTTTTGACTTATTTAAGTTTTTAGAATTTATCCAATATAAAGGTCTACTTTTATGTTTCTGGAGCCGTAGATTTTGAAAACGACCTCCATTTTAAGATTAGGCCACCGCGTTTCGACTTATTTGAGTTTTCCGGATATATTTCATATGAGGGTGTATTTTTATGTTTCCGGGGCTGTAGATTTTGAAAATGACCTCCATTTTAAGATTAGGCCACCGCGTTTCGACTTATTTGAGTTTTTCGGATATTTTTGATATGAGGGTGTATTTTTATGTTTCCGGGGCTGTAGATTTTGAAAACGACCTCCATTTTAAGATTAGGCCACCACATTTAGACTTATTTGAGTTTTTCGGATATTTTTGATATGAGGGTGTATTTTTATGTTTCCGGGGCTGTAGATTTTGAAAACGACCTCCATTTTAAGATTAGGCCACCGCGTTTCGACTTATTTGAGTTTTTCGGATATTTTTGATATGAGGGTGTATTTTTATGATGCCAAAGCCTTAGTTTTTAAAACGACTTACATTTTAAGATTAGGCCACTGTGTTTCGGTTTTTTTAAGTGTTTTTGATTTTTCCTTTGAATAAAAAACGAAATACGAAGGATTAATGTATTTTTCAATAAATAAATAAAAATATCTAATTAAAATAAATAAAATATGTATTGTCTCATTTTTAATTTAATTTTAGTTATCTTTTTTAATGTTGTGGTCTCCTGTCACAAAATTATAAGATTTCGAACAATTAGCTGAAAAATCTAAATACGGAAGGTTAAATTTATTACCAGCTGCTTTTCGGCTTTTTAGTTTGTATTCTGTGGTTAATTTAACTTTAGCTTCATAATATTTATTTCTTTATTCATACTCGAAAACATATTGATGAAACTTTGTATTGAAAAAATCCAAAATGAAGCCTAATTATTCGAAATGCAGCGGCTTAATCATAAAATGGAGCTTAAATATTAGATAAATTTAAATATTAAAGATTAGAAAAATTTCAATACGTCTCGGATAACATATAAGTAGATCCTTATACCGAAAAAGTAAAAAAAAAAAACTTTTATAATCCAAAACACAGTGGCATAAACTTGAAATTGGGTCATTTACAAAATGGGGGAAATCTACTGCTCCAGAAACATAAAATATTAGACCTTTATACTTGTTAAATTCTAAAAACTTAAATAAGTTGAAACGCAGTGGCGTATTCATAAAATAGAGTTCATTTTCAGAATCTACGGTTCTGAAAACATTAAAGTAGACCTTTAAATTGAATAAATTTGAAAAACATAAATAAGTCAAAATGCAATGGCGTAATCATGAAATGGAGGTTATTTTCAAAATCTACGGCTCAAGAAACATAAAAGTAGACCTTAATATTGAATAAATTCGAAAAACTTAAATAAGTCAAAACGCAGCGGCGTAATCATAAAATGGAGGTCATTTTCAAAATCTACAGCTCCGGAAACATAAAAATACACCCTCATATCAAAAATATCCGAAAAACTCAAATAAGTCGAAACGCGGTGGCCTAATCTTAAAATGGAGGTCATTTTCAAAATCTACAGCCCCGGAAACATAAAAATACACCCTCATATGAAATATATCCGAAAAACTCAAATAAGTCAAAACGCGGTGGCCTAATCTTAAAATGGAGGTCGTTTTCAAAATCTACGGCTCCAGAAACATAAAAGTAGACCTTTATATTGGATAAATTCTAAAAACTTAAATAAATCAAAACACAGTGGTGTAAACATAAAATGGATGTCATTTTCAAAATTTACTGATCGGGAAACATAAAAACACCCTTATATCGAATAATTCAAAAAAACTTAAATAATTCGAAACTGTCACGTAATCTTAAAAAGGAGGTTATTTTCAAAAACTACTCATACAATAACAGACCCTACATCGAAAAATTAAAGATAATTAAATAAATAAAAAAAGGTTGAATTTGAAATGGAAAAGGTTTAATTTGAAATGGAAAAGGTTGAATTTGACTTGGAAAAAGTTTAATTTGATTTGGAAAAGGTTGAATTTGACTTGGAAAAGGTTGAAATTGACTTGGAAATGCTATATATATTTTGAAAAGGAATCCTTAAATTTTACTTTAGTGCGTTGTTGTTTTGTTTTTTTTTCTCTCTGAAATTTACACTATATATATATATATATATATATATATATATATTTTTTTTTTTTTTTAAAATATATTTTGATCGAAATATGTGGGAGTCCTTAGAACATTCCTAACTCTCTAGTCCTTTATCATACAAAAGAAAATTGGCTCGGATTCAAATTAAATTTCCTCCCGACAAAATCATTCTTCAAAAAACAGAAAATGTAATACCCCACGTATTTAGTATCCAAAAGAGGTGATTCAGATGACTTTAAAAAAATATTTCCATTTTTTATACACAAAACTATTTCCGGTTTGGTGAGAAACGTAAAAAATTAAGAGACAGTTCTTTGTTAATAGAAACAACAAGCGGACACCAGACAAACAAACTATTATCTGTAACGGCTTTCACTCCTTATCCAGTACAGATAACACCGCATAATACTCTCAACTATAGTAAAGGAGTGGTACATTGTTTTGATTTTCAATACATGGAAATAGACGATGTGTAGATTGATCGAAATATATGATGACTTTAA